GTGAGAGGGCAAATGAAATTAATCTTTGTTTTTTTGTTCTTCTTATTCAAAAACCCTGAAGTCAGAACATCCGCCTTCTCTAGTAGTGCTGTTGTACGTTATTTAATTTTGAAGTTATTATCTCTTGTAAGATCGATGAAACTAATTTTCTTTTTAGAATAAATGAGAAAAGAGCGGGAGATGAATTTCAATCATATCCTTATACGTATAATTTTTTTGTGTGTACGTAAAATAAAATTCCGCTAGGTTCAAAACTCATAGAAATATTTTGTTTCATTAAACATAAAGATTTGATTTTTTGAAAGAGATGTATTCCAAAAAGTAGTTTCTTAAGTACTCGTTTGTGATTTTACTAAAACAAAAAAAAAACTTGTGTGATAGATGTCGCAACTTGTGACATATGAAAATTAGTTTTTCAGACAAATAACCCTTTCAACTTAAACAGCAGCTTATAAGCACCTGGGCTAACCAGCCAGAGCAGAGATCCTTAGAAGTCAGGTACTGCAGTCCACAATTTTGGACTGCTGGCAAGAAGAAAGGCAACAGAGCACCAGTCACGCAAAAGTTCGTTCGGCATTTTGAGTTGAGTAGAGGGATTGACTGCCACGCTTATGCCATGAGCGCAGATAAAAGTACTGAGCGTGTATGCGGTATTGAACCCTGGATCGTAGATATTAAACACTATTAGGCCTAATCATGATTATAAATAATAAAGAAAGAGTCGTTGTTTACATAAGTTAGAATACAGGTGTGAAAATACTGTAAACCTTCGGGTCTTGCAATCTCCTAACTGCTTGAGGAAATGTAATAAAACATTTTTACCTCTAACTATTTCTTTGTTTGTTTGAAGTTAAGCACAAAGCTACACAACGATTTCTAGCGTTGTAAGTCCACAGACATGCTGCTGTGCCACTGTGGGGTCTCTAACTACTTATACGATACTGGTCATAAATGTTCTTCTATATAGCAAACTGCAGGATTTGTTATACGAACGTCATTATCAATGAAATGTTGATTATAATTTATTTCATAGCTGACGAAAGTATGATTCTACTTTTTGTTAACAAAAAGAGAGAAATCTGTTACACAGTAAACTCTACCATTTGTAAACAAAAGAGAGAAATCTGTTACACAGTAAACTCTACCATTTGTTAACAAAAGAGATTGATAAACATAAAGGTACTAAGTGCGTCTCATCAAAATAATGAACATAGAGGTACTAATTACGTCTTACCACTGAGATTAACATAGATGTACTAATTACGTCTTACTACAGTGATGAACGTAGAGGTACTAATTACGTCTTACTACAGTGATGAACGTAGAGGTACTAATTACGTCTTACCACAGCGATGAACGTAGAGGTACTAATTACGTCTTACCACAAGACGAACATAGAGGTACTAATTACGTCTTACCACAGTGATGAACATAGAGGTACTAATTACGTCTTACTACAGTGATGAACGTAGAGGTACTAATTACGTCTTACCACAGTGATGAACGTAGAGGTACTAATTACGTCTTACTACAGTGATGAACGTAGAGGT